TAAACCAGACAGAACACTAGAAGTACACTAAATAGTACACAGGACAAGTCACTAGATATTAAACCAGACAGAACACTAGAAGTACACTAAATAGTACACAGGACAAGTCACTAGATATTAAACCAGACAGAACACTAGAAGTACACTAAATAGTACACAGGACAAGTCACTAGATATTAAACCAGACAGAACACTAGAAGTACACTAAATAGTACACAGGACAAGTCACTAGATATTAAACCAGACAGAACACTAGAAGTACACTAAATAGTACACAGGACAAGTCACTAGATATTAAACCAGACAGAACACTAGAAGTACACTAAATAGTACACAGGACAAGTCACTAGATATTAAACCAGACAGAACACTAGAAGTACACTAAATAGTACACTTAATAGTACACTAGACAGTACATTAGAAATGCACCACATAGCACACTGTACAGTACTAGTCCACACTAGACAGTAAACTAGACATACACAGGACAGTACACTAGCCATGACTTGAGAAGGTAGCACTGAGAGGAAACATGATCGGAGAAGGGAACACTGAAAGGAACCATGACCGGAGAAGAAAAACTGTGAAGAACGGGAACTGGAGAAAAAATTACCGGGAAACAATGATTGTGTTTGTTAGAACACTTTTTGACATGGTAAATCGTCTTGGCGTTCACCAGTTATTAACCCAGATGGAATGTTCTGGTTGTTCGTCCACTTCTTGACTTAGGTCTTTTTTTACAGAACCTGCGATGTGCATGCATATCCGTTTTACAAAGCTAGCTTAGTTTTATGAAAACTGTTGGTTCCTGACCTCTCAGACAGATGCACTGCTACTCCACCTTTACGACATGCTTGTTTTGGGGCAGTGGGTCTGTTCTTTATATTCCCAATTGGGGCCCTAGGACCCACAACAATTGACAGAGTGGCAAACCTTCTACCTACACTGTCCACAGTTGATGTGGTGGCCTACCTTCTACACACTCTGTCCACAGTTGATGTGGTGGCAAACCTTCTACATACACTGTCCACAGTTGATGTGGTGGCCAACCTTCTACACACTCTGTCCACAGTTGATGTGGTGGCAAACCTTCTACACACTCTGTTAACAGTTGATGTGGTGGCAAACCTTCTACATACTCTGTCCACAGTTGATGTGGTTGCAAACCTTCTACACACACACTGTCCACAGTTAATGTGGTGGCAAACCTTCTACATACACTGTCCACAGTTGATGTGGTGGCAAACCTTCTACATACACTGTCCACAGTTGATGTGGTGGCCTACCTTCTACACACTCTGTCCACAGTTGATGTGGTGGCAAACCTTCTACACACTCTGTTAACAGTTGATGTGGTGGCAAACCTTCTACATACTCTGTCCACAGTTGATGTGGTTGCAAACCTTCTACACACACACTGTCCACAGTTAATGTGGTGGCAAACCTTCTACACACTCTGTCCACAGTTGATGTGGTGGCAAACCTTCTACATACTCTGCTACAGTTGACGTGGTGGCAAACCTTCTACACACTGTCCACAGTTGATGCGGTGGCAAACCTTCTACATACTCTGTCTACAGCTGATGTGGTGGCAAACCTTCTACATACTCTGTCCACAGTTGATGTGGTGGCAAACCTTCTACATACTCTGTCCACAGTTGACGTGGAGGAAAACATTATACACACTCTGTCCACAGCTGATGTGGTGGCAAACCTTCTATATACTCTGTCCACAGTTGATGTGGTGGCAAACCTTCTACATACTCTGTCCACAGTTGATGTGGTGGCAAACCTTCTAATACTCTGTCCACAGTTGATGTGGTGGCAAACCTTCTACATACTTTGCTACAGTTGATGTAGTGGCAAACCTTCTACATACTCTGTCCACAGTTGACGTGGAGGAAAACATTATACACACTCTGTCCACAGCTGATGTGGTGGCAAACCTTCTATATACTCTGTCCACAGTTGATGTGGTGGCAAACCTTCTACATACTCTGTCCACAGTTGATGTGGTGGCAAACCTTCTAATACTCTGTCCACAGTTGATGTGGTGGCAAACCTTCTACATACTTTGCTACAGTTGATGTAGTGGCAAACCTTCTACACACTATGTCCACGGTTGATGTGGTGGCAAACCTTCTACATACTATGTCCACAGTTGATGTGGTTGCAAACCTTCTACACACACACTGTCCACAGTTGATGTGGTGGCAAACCTTCTACACACTCTGTCCACAGTTGATGTGTTGTAAACCTTCTACACACTCTGTCCACAGTTGATGTGGTGGCAAACCTTCTACACACTATGTCCACAGGTGATGTGGTTGCAAACCTTCTACACACTCTGTCCACAGTTGATGTGGGGACAAACCTTCTACACACTCTGTCCACAGTTGATGTGGTGGCAAACCTTCTACATACTCTGTCCACAGTTGATGTGGTGGGAAACCCTCTGCATACTCTATCCACAGTTGATGTGGTGGCAAACCTTCTACATACGCTGTCCACAGTTGATGTGGTGGCAAACCTTCTACATACTCTGTCTACAGCTGTAGAAGGTGAGCCACTCCGTCTACAGGCATTTACAGCTATAGAAGGTGCGCCACTCAGTCTACAGGCATCTACAGCTGTAAAAGGTATGCCACCCCGTCTACAGGCATCTACAGCTGTTGAAGGTATGCCACCCCACCTAAAGGCAAATACAGCCGTAGAAGGTGCGCTACCCCGCCTACAGGCATCTACAGCTGTAAAAGGTGCGCCACCCCGTCTACAGGCATCTACAGCTGTAGAAGGTGTGCCACTCCGTCTACATGCAATTACAGCTGTAGAAGTTGTGCCACCACGTCTACAGGCAAGTACAGCTGTGGAAGGTATGCCCCTGCGTAAACCGTAGCCCAGCTTTGTGGCCGCTGGAGCTGTGATGATGATGAGGTAGTTATACCAGGCTGGGGTCACAGCCTAGCACAGGTCACGTGTTTTCCGTTGTCTAGACTTGTCTCCAATGACATTTTGGAAACACGCACCACACAGCAATCAAACACTAACAGTGTTGCTTCAAACACTTGGCTGTTTGAAATGTCCAAAACTGTATGGAAGAGGGAGATGACAGGGAAACTGTCAGTGAAAGGTAGCGCTAGTGAGGCGGTTATAAAAGAATAGAAGAAGTGAGAGAATTGTAGGACTGAAAGAGAAAGTAAGGAGACCGTGGGAGAAAGCTAAGGCGTGAGAGGTGGTTAGAGATGACGAAGAGACAGTGGGAGAATACTATGGCGTGAGAGACTGTAATGAGACCGCCGGAGAAATCTAGGGCGTGAGAGACTAAGAGGGGATAAGGAGACAATGGGAGAAATGTAGAGCTCGAAAGAATGTAAGAGGTCAAGAGACCTGTGGCCGAGATTCCAGCGCACATGCCATAAAATCTTGAATAAAATGGCTCTATATAAACAGCGTTAACGGGACAACCATCAGTGCAGGGATTAAACAATGTTAAAAGCCACTGAGGAATGCATGAGCTAAATAAAACTATAAAAGAATGGTCTACGAGGAGGGGGGCGGGGGTGGTTCTACAAATTCCTCTGTGTCAGGGGAGGTGGGTGGAATAAATGTAATGAAAATCGCGGACTAGCCACTGGGAAGGGAAAGGGAGTGTGGCTTCATGTGTCTGGTCCTAGAGTTTCTAGCACCTATGTGAACAACAGTTATTTTAACCCTAAATTTGCAACTTGCTTTGTTATTTCTAGCCAGGAAATTCCCCGATAAGACATACTTCCTAACACAAGGAAAATACTAAGGGACATGGATCTGCAACATGGGGCAGACAAAATACTAAGCCACAAGGGTCTGCAATATGAGGCAGAGAAAGTATCAAGGGACATGGTCATGGCACATGAGACAGAGAAAGTAGCAAGGGACAAGGATCTGCAACATGAGGCAGGAAAAGTACCAAGGGACACGGAGTTGCAACACGATGTGAAAGACCTGCAACATCATGTGAGGGATCTTCTATGTGACGTGAAGGACCTGCAACATGATATAAACGACTTGCTACATGACGTGTAGGACCTGCAACATGATATAAACGACTTGCTACACGATGTGAAGGACCTGCAACATGACATAAACGACCTACTACACGACGTGAAGGACCTGCAACATGATGTCAAGGACTTGCAACATGATGTGAGGGATCTGCTATGTGACAACGATGATGCTAAGACCAATAACTGTGCACATATATTTACAAATGTTGAAGGACAGTGTCACGGTTGGGCGGGAGCTTTTTTGAGGTTTTGAACAACGGATCAACATCAAGGCAAATGAGTGTAACCCATGAGTGTTCCGTTCTTCTTCTAACTCAAGTCCTAGTCCGAAAAAGCTCAGCACATTGCACAGGCTCTGTAGCACCGGCGAGGATCCTGAAATACTTTGGGTAGATTTGTAACTGCACATTTTGCCCGGGTAGCGCCGTTATGCTACTCTTTTTGATTTCCAACTACTGCCAAGAGATTATTCTACGTGCGCAACAATGCACACGGGCGTCCGATCTCACTACCCAGAGACCAGGGGGGATTTCCAGAAGGTTGGACGGGAGAGACAGCCAACCGTTACAGCTGGTGTGTCTAGAGCGTATAAACACGGGTGGCCCGCATGTTCGCCCAGTGCTAGGACTGCTGAGCTAACCGCCGACGTTTCCACTGGCACCGTTTTGCTGTAGTTACTCCACTTTCTGCAGCCTCCATACGTCGGCACACAACCCGGTTGTCTGCCCCACCCCGTTCTAGTGCTGGCTGATTGACATGTTGTGAGTACAAGCGAGTCACAAACCGTTACCTCAAACTGTGCTCTCTCTTTCTCCCCTCAGTATGGGACCGTGTCTACAGGTCATGCGTGGACTCGGCAACTAGAACTTGCAGCTCTGGGAGTCAGTCTCACGGACCGCTGTGACCGAAACGGCTAGTTATTGGCCTCATTAGAGCAAGTAACAGCGCCCAGCCGTCATGTCATCAGATAAGCACATTCACGAGTACATTGACATGGATGGACCCAAGCTAGACCCCAAGGAGTCCGGCCGTGTACTGGACCCACAAGAGACCGGCCGTGTACTGGACCCCAGAGAGACCGGCCGTATTCTAGAGACCAAACTAGACGACGATGACACGCCTGAAAGGGAGATGTGGACAGACAAGATCGAATTCGTTCTTGCATGTGTTGGTCAGTGTGTCGGTTTTGGAAACGTTTGGAGATTCCCGTACCTGTGTTATAAAAATGGAGGGGGTAAGTGTTTCAATCGCCTGCTTGTAAATTACTTTTTTTTCCTGTTGATTAAGTTTGTAAATTTAAGCTCACTGTCTGGTAAAGCTTGTAAATTCACGTTTACTGTCTAGTAAAGTTTGTAAATTCACGTTTACTGTCTGTTAAAGTTTGTAAATTCACGTTTACTGTCTGGTAACGTTTGTAAATTCACGTTTACTGTCTGGTAAAGTTTGTAAAACTACGTTTACTGTCCTGTAAAGCTTGTAAATTCCCGTTTACTGTCTGGTAAAGCTTGTAAATTTAAGTTAACTGTCTGGTGAAGCTTGTAAATTTACGTTTAATGTCTGGTAAAGTTTGTAAATTCACGTTTACTGTCTGGTAAAGTTTGTAAATTCACGTTTACTGTCTGGTAAAGCTTGAAAATCCACGTTTACTGTCTGGTAAAGTTTGTAAATTCACATTAACTGTCTGGCGAAGCTTGTAAATTTACGTTTCCTGTCTGGTAAAGTTTGTAAATTTACGTTTACTGTCTGGTAAAGTTTGTAAATTCACGTTTAATGTCTGGTAAAGCTTGTAAATTCACGTTAACTGTCTGGTAAAGCTTGTAAATTCACGTTTAATGTCTGGTAAAGCTTGTAAATTGAAGTTTAATGTCTAGTGAAGCTTGTAAATTCACATTAACTGTCTGGTGAAGCTTGTAAATTCACGTTTACTGTCTGGTAACGTTTGTAAATTCACGTTTACTGTCTGGTCAAGTTTGTAAATTCACATTTACTGTCTTTTAAAGTTTGTAAATTCACGTTTAGTGTCTGGTAAAGCTTATAAATTCACGTTTACTGTCTGGTGAAGTGTGTAAATTCACGTTTACTGTCTGATGAAGCTGGTAAATTTACGTTTACTGTCTAATAAAGCTGGTAAATTCATGTTTACTGTTTGATGAAGCTGGTAAATTTACGTTTACTGTCTAATGAAGCTAGTAAATTTACGTTTACTGTCTAATGAAGCTGGTAAATTCATGTTTACTGTCTGGTGAAGCTGGTAAATTCACGTTTACTGTCTAATGAAGCTGGTAAATTCATGTTTACTGTCTGGTATAGCTTGTAAATTCACGTTTTACTGTCTGGTGAAGCTTGTAAATTCACGTTTACTGTCTGGCGAAGCTTGTAAATTCGCAGTTAATCTCCCACGAAGCTTGTAAATTCACATTTATTCTCCCATGAAATTTGAAAATTCGCTTTTCCCAAGTGACTACATTGTAAACTAACATTAACCTTTTGACACTGTAAGCTAACATAGTATTATTTAAATTAACGTACATCACATTGCTTATGAAAGCTAACGTGTATCATACTTCTTGTGTAAGTTAGCATTATCATATTCCTTATGTAAGCTAACGTTTACCATATTCTTTGTGTAAGCTAACATGTATCATATTCCTCATGTAAGCTAACATGTATCATATTCCTTATGTAAGCTAACGTGTATCATATTACTTATGTAAGTTAACATGTATAATATTACTTATGTAAGCTAACATGTATCATATTACTTATGTAAGTTAACATGTATAATATTACTTATGTAAGCTAACATGTATCATATTACTTATGTAAGTTAACATGTATAATATTACTTATGTAAGTTAACATGTATAATATTACTTATGTAAGTTAACATGTATAATATTACTTATGTAAGCTAACATGTATAATATTACTTATAAAGCTAACGTGTATCATATTACTTATGTAAGCTAACTGTCATCATGTTACTTGTGTAGGCTAACATGTATCATATTACTTATGTAAGCTAACGTGTTTCAAATTACTAATGTAAGCTAACGTGCATCACATTACTTATGTAAGCTATCGTGCATCATATTACTTGTGTAAGCTATCGTGTATAATATTAGTTGTGTAAGATAACGTGTATCATAGTACTTGTGTAAGCTATCGTGTATAATATTAGTTGTGTAAGCTAACGTGCATCACATTACTTATGTAAGATAACGTGCATCACATTACTTATGTTAGATAACGTAAATCACATTACTTATGTGAGCTAATGTGTATCACATTACATATGTAAGCTAACGTGTATAACATTACTTATGTAAGCTAAAGTGCATCACATTACTTATGTAAGATAACGTGCATCACAATACCTATGTAAGATAACGTAAACTAAAATTAGTGATATTGTTCATGGTTTAAACATGCATTGTGTGTTGTATGTAAACTAAGATAAGTGTTATGATTTCTGGTTAAAACATGCAGTGTGTTGTATGTAAACTAACATTTGTGATATAATTTCTGGTTAAAACATGCATCGTGTGTTGTATGTAAACTAACATTTGTGATATAATTCCTGGTTAAAACATGCATCGTGTGTTGTATATAAACTAACATAAGTGATATGATTCCTGGTTAAAACATGCATCGTGTGTTGTATGTAAACTAAGATAAGTGATATGATTTCTGGTTAAAACATGCAGTGTTTGTATGTAAACTAAAATGTGTGATATGATTCCTAGTTAAAAAATGCATCGTGTGTGGTATGTAAACTAACCTGTAACGTAAGTCCAGTCTTGGTCACATATGACTGATCCGGTGTACAACAATAGTCGATACTACCTTTTCTGTTAACTTGGTCAAAATATGACTGACTGAGGGTATAACAGTAGTTGGTACTAACTTTCCTATTAGCTTGGTTAAATATGACGGATCGACTGTATAACAATAGTCGCTACTACCTTTTCTGTTAACTTGATAAAATATGACTGACTGAGGGTATAACAGTAGTTGGTACTACCTGTCAGATGGTCAGATATGACTGAGCAATTGAGGTCGGTACTATCTTTTCAATTAACATGGTCAAATATGTCTGAACGAGCGTATAATAAGTTGTTCTTACTACCTTTTCTATTACCTTGGTCATATGTAGTAGTAGTCGGTGCTACCTGTTCTCTTTCAACTCCTAATGTTAGTCGTCGTATTTCAAACATAACATCCCAGATTGTGCCCAGGGCCTCGTGGGGGAAGGGGGCGGATGGGGAAAGGGGGGGGGGAGGATGGAGAAAGGGGGAGGGGGTGGGATACAACTTTCTTTATCTTAGGACAAGAGAATGTAGCCTAAAGACGTCATTTATGGCAAGGCTGGCCAGGTCGTTAACCCAGGTTGAGAGCTGCTCCAGAAGGAAAGCTCAGACATACGGACAGAGGAAGCAGTGCTCTTCTCATCCATCGACTTCGTGTATCTTATAGCGCTAGGTATGAACTAACGTGTATCTTATAGCGCTAGGTATGAACTAACGTGTGTCTTATAGCGCTAGGTATGAACTAACGTGTGTCTTATAGCGCTAGGTATGAACTAACGTGTGTCTTATAGCGCTAGGTATGAACTAACGTGTGTCTGATAGCGCTAGGTATAAACTAACGTGTGTCTTATAGCGCTAGGTATAAACTAACGTGTGTCTTATAGCGCTAGGTATGAACTAACGTGTGTCTTATAGCGCTAGGTATGAACTAACGTGTGTCTTATAGCGCTAGGTATGAACTAACGTGTGTCTTATAGCGCTAGGTATGAACTAACGTGTATCTTATAGCGCTAGGTATAAAACTAACGTGTATCTTATAGCGCTAGGTATAAACTAACGTGTATCTTATAGCGCTTAATACTGAGTAACGACTATCTTACAGCGCTAGGCATAAAGTAACGAATATCTTATAGCGCATGGTATAAACTTACGAATATCTTATAGCGCTAGGTAGAAAGTAATGAATATCTTATAGCGCTAGGTATAAAGTAACGAATATCTTATAGCGCTAGGTATAAATTAATGAATATCTTATAGCGCTAGGTATAAAGTAACGAATATTTTATAGCACTAGGTATAAACTAACGTGTGTGTCTTATAGCGCTAGGTATAAAGTAACGTGTGTGCCTTATAGCGCTAGGTATAAATTAACGAATATCTTATAGCGCTAGGTAGAAAGTAATGAATATCTTATAGCGCTAGGTATAAAGTAACGTGTGTGTCTTATAGCGCTAGGTATAAAGTAACGTGTGTGTCTTATAGCGCTAGGTATAAACTAACGTGTATCTTATAGCGCTAGGTATAAACTAACGTGTATCTTATAGCGCTAGGAATAAAGTAATGAATATCTTATAGCGCTAGGTATGAAGTAATGAATATCTTATAGCGCTAGGAATAAAGTACCAAATATATCTAATGGCACTAGGTATAAACTAACGTGTATCTTATAGCGCTAGATATATAGAATATCTTAGTAGGTATAAAGTATCTTATAGCGCTAGGAATAAAGTATCTTATAGCGCTAGGTATAAAGTAACGTGTAGGTAGTAATAACAATGGTGATAATAACAACAGTAAAGTGTAATAATTATAAAGATAGTCTTTGATCCCCGCCCACCACCACAACTAAATCCACCTACTACTATCTCCCTCATCAAAGGTTTTTGGAAAAGAAAGACAATGGAAATCGCACGTGTCTAATACAGTTAATGTTGCAATCATTCTCTGCACGGATATAGCGATAGTCTGGTTTTCCAACTTTAGAACACGCACCTTATAATTGTGTTTTTATATTAGTGGTCGTTTAAATGGTGTTATTAGCACAGTAACAAAAATGGTTGTTTTGTTATCACATGCTAAAGCTGTTTGTATTTTTATAGTGGATGGAAGTACAGCTACAACTGTACTTGTGAATAACAAAGTAAGTCGTAAAAAATAGAAAAGCGGAGGTAGCGTTAGTAAAATATAAACAAATTAGGCAATGAGAACTTGAAAATCAAGTGTAAAGCTCTTTAATTTCTCTTAAATTTAAGTCATTACCCCCTCCCCTCTTCCACCGACTACTGCTCTTTCCCTCTTCGAAGGATTTGAAAATCACTAACTGGCGATATTTTGTTGTTGCTGTAACTGACATTGACATCCCTGTCCATCTGGACTAAAATAGGGAGCAGGAATTGTAAAAGGTAGTGAATAGGGCTAGGGTAAT